TTTTTCTTAATATCCAGTTCTCCTGTTGCTCTGTTTACTATTTGTCAAGTAGGTAGGGCTCTTTTCGATTCTTTGCTTATTTATAATTTTTATCTTCACTAAATATCTGTATTTTAATTAGACGCGTTCCTATTTTGAATTTATGCCGCGCGTCTAAAGGGTTGTAGTCTGTATTTTATTGTAGCACTTAAGTAGCGCTGTTCAACAGCTAGTTTCGGTTTCGCCCATTCTCGGGATATTTGCTTTTGCTGTGCTAATTGCAAGGGCGGCCACAGCTGTCCTCACTCAGGCGATTGAAAGCTTTATATCTATGTAGTGTGCGCGCTGTCGCGGAATCGTCAGCGGAAGCGTTCAGCTCTCGTGTCCAGCCTCCTCGTGTGAAGACCGACTCGGGTAAAGACCTGCGACTCTACCTGCGCGACTCCACCGAGCAAGGACACCTGCAAGGCACTTAAGTATCTTCTTCACCCTTTCCCTTCCCACCTTTTTCTTATTTCCCCATCAACATGTGCTTTCAATACATTCCTGTTGTCTCTCGACAACGCTCTCTCATCATGCACAGAAGGCAGCGCAATACTGCGCCCTAATCTGCGCCCTATTCTCTCATCCTCACACTCACCTCTCACTCTTTCTATGGGTCTATGGAATTGTCAATCAGCAGTCAATAAAGCTGACTTCATTCCAGCCTTTGCATCTCATTCTACTCTTAATATATTGGGCTTGACTGAGACCTGGATCTGTCCAGAAGACTCAGCAACCCCTGCTGCTCTCTCTAACAACTTATCTTTCTCTCACACCCCTAGCCAGTCGGGGAGGGGTGGGGGTACTGGTCTTATCATTTCTAACAATTGGAAATACTCAACTCTCTCTTCTCTATGCAATCACTACTCATTTGAATATCATGCTATTACACTTACAACTCCCATTAAGATCCATATTGTAGTCATATATCGCCCCCCAGGTCAACTGGGAAGCTTTGTAGAGGAGCTGGATGTGCTGCTTTCCTCTTTCCCTGAAGATGGCATCCCACTTGTAGTCTTTGGCGACTTCAACATTCAACATTCATCTAGAGAAGCCGTATGCAACACACTTCATCTCTCTCCTAGCCTCTTTCGATCTCCAACGGCTTATCACCACAGGTACTCACAAGTCAGGCAACCAACTGGACCTGGTTTACGTTTCAGACCATTTCCTCATTACTTTCAATCTACAACTCACTACCCATGCACCACCAACTCCCCTACCAGTCACTTTCAGACGAAACCTGCGCTCACTTTCTCCGTACAATCTTTCCTCTGCTGTGTCATCTTCTCTTTCCTCACCCTCGCATTTCTCATCTCTGGATGTGAATACTGCAACGGATACTTTATGCTCCATTCTAACCTCTTCTTTAGACAACATCTGCCCTCTCTCCTCCAGGCCAGCACGCGCTACTCCCTCCAACCCCTGGTTATCTGAGGTTCTTCGTGAACACCGGACCGAACTCAGGGCAGCGGAGAGGAAATGGTGCAAATTAAAAGACACATCTGACCTCAGTATGTATCAATCTCTGCTCTCTGCCTTTTCTGCTGATGTTCACGCCGTAAAATCTTCATATTTCCACAACAAGATCAACAGCGCCTCTAACACACGTTCACTGTTCAAGACATTCAACTCTCTCCTCTGTCCACCTTCACCATCACCCACCTCCTCGCTAACTGCTGATGATTCTGCTAACTTCTTCACTAACAAAACTACAACTATCAGCAGTCAGTTCTCAGCTTTACACACACAGGAACCCAGACTAACCTCTCCCACAGCCAACAATCTTCTCTCCTCCTTCACTCCACTAACCGAGGATGAAGTATCTAAACTTCTCCTCTCTAGTCATCCTACCACCTGCCCTCTAGACCCCATCCCCTCACACGTTCTACAAGCAATCTCTCCCACACTTCTTCCAGCTCTCACACACATCATCAACTCACCCCTCCACACTGGCATTTTCCCTACAGCATTTAAGCAGGCTCGGGTAACTCCACTGCTTAAAAAAAAAACATTAAACACATCACTTTTAGTGAATTACAGACCTGTCTCTCTCCTACCATTCATTGCGAAAACACTTGAACGAGTTGCTTTCAACCAATTATCATCTTTCCTGTCTCTGAACAACCAGCTGGATGTCAACCAATCTGGCTTCAAGAAAGGGCATTTAACCGAGACTGCACTACTGTCGGTCACCGAAGCCCTGCGGATCGCAAAAGCTGCTTTCAAATCTTCAGTTCTCATCCTCCTGGATCTGTCTGCTGCTTTCGACACTGTGAATCATCAGATCCTCTTGTCCGCCCTCTCATCACTGGGCATCACAGGTACTCCTCTCCACTGGTTTGAGTCCTATCTCACAGGCAGGTCCTTCAGGGTCACATGGAGAGGTGAGGTATCCAAAGCACATCAACTGACCACAGGGGTTCCCCAGGGTTCAGTTCTTGGACCGCTCCTCTTCTCCATTTACACCACATCACTGGGACCCATCATACAGGCACATGGTTTCTCTTACCATTGCTATGCTGATGACACCCAGCTCTACCTCTCAGTTCAACCAGATGATCCCACAGTAGCTGTACGGATCTCAAGCTGTCTGGCGGACATCTCTGCATGGATGAAGGAACATCACCTGCAGCTCAACCTGGCAAAGACTGAGCTTCTCATCCTCCCTGCCAATCCGTCTCTACAGCATGACTTCACTATCCAGCTAGATTCATCCTCAATCACCCCATCAAGGTCAGTCAGAAATCTTGGAGTAATCTTTGATGATCAGCTGACCTTCACAGACCACATTACAAAGACAGCTCGATCATGCAGGTTTGCAATGCACAACATCAGGAAGATCAGGCCTTTCCTAACTGAGCATGCAACACAACTTCTCGTCCAGGCCCTGGTCATTTCTAGGCTTGATTACTGAAATGCTCTTCTGGCTGGACTTCCATCATGTGCAACTAAACCTCTACAAATGATCCAGAATGCTGCAGTTCGTCTGGTCTTCAACGAGCCCAAAAGGGCCGACGTCACTCCTCTGTTCATCTCTCTGCACTGGCTACCACTCGCTGCTCACATCAAGTTCAAGGTGTTGACACTTGCTTACAGATTGACCACAGGATCAGCTCCCTCCTACTTCCACTCACTACTACAAGTCTACATCCCTACCAGAAGCCTACGATCAGTCAATGAGCGATGGCTCGTGGTACCATCACAGAGAGCCTCAAAATCACTCTCTAGAACATTCTCATTCACGGTACCATGCTGGTGGAATGAAATGCCCGCCCTCGTCCGGAATGCAGAATCCCTGACAGCATTCAAAAGACAACTGAAAACTCATCTCTTCCGTGAGCACTTAACATTAAAAAAATGTAAATGTAAAATTGGACAGTTGAAGACTGGAAAAATGTTGCCTGGTCTGATGAGTCTCGATTTCTGTTGAGACATTCAGATGGTAGAGTCAGAATTTGGCGTAAACAGAATGAGAACATGGATCCATCATGCCTTGTTACCACTGTGCAGGCTGGTGGTGGTGGTGTAATGGTGTGGGGGATGTTTTCTTGGCACACTTTAGGCCCCTTAGTGCCAATTGGGCATCGTTTAAATGCCACGGCATACCTGAGCATTGTTTCTGACCATGTCCATCCCTTTATGGCCACCATGTACCCATCCTCTGATGGCTACTTCCAGCAGGATAATGCACCATGTCACAAAGCTCGAATCATTTCAAATTGGTTTCTTGAACATGACAATGAGTTCACTGTACTAAAATGGCCCCCACAGTCACCAGATCTCAACCCAATAGAGCATCTTTGGGATGTGGTGGAACGGGAGCTTCGTGCCCTGGATGTGCATCCCACAAATCTCCATCAACTGCAAGATGCTATCCTATCAATATGGGCCAACATTTCTAAAGAATGCTTTCAGCACCTTGTTGAATCAATGCCACGTAAAATGAAGGCAGTTCTGAAGGCGAAAGGGGGTCAAACCCAGTATTAGTATGGCGTTCCTAATAATCCTTTAGGTGAGTGTACATGCGTGTGTGTGTGTATTTATATATACAAAATAATTATACATCGTACACACACTTATATTATATAAACACAAACTTTTATTTTGGATGTGATTAATCGTTTCACAGCCCTACTCCAAACACAGACAACAATTCAGTAGTAAAATAAAACTTGGCCTTTACCTTTCTCAGGGATTGCTGTATAATTAATGCTTTCGATCACAATAAAATAAATGGCAAACCAAGAGTAGAGCTGCACGATTCTGGATAAATCGAGAATCATGATTGTTTTGGTTCAAAAAGCGTTCACGAGTAGAAAATTAAACAAAGAAACACGGAATTTACTAGTTCTGATAAAATGCAGCAATCTATTTTTAAAAATGTAATACATTTGAATTATTATTATTTATTTTTTAATCAAGTTGAGGGAATTATTCAATGACTCGCTCATAAAGACTCCATTTGTTTCATTACTGGATGAATCAGAATCACTCTTGAATGAATGATTCAATGACAAATACAACATTTTAACAGGCGCTTGCCGCCACCTACTGGTGTAACGCTGTAATTGATAGCGACAAGTTTACTTTATTATTTATCAGTGTTTATATCTGAACTATTTACTTTTATCCCAGTACTTCTGTGATCATTTAAATCAATGGTAAGACAGAAATAATGATACTGTGTGGTTGAAAAGAAGAGTTTATGAAGTTGTTTCATATCTATACATGTCAACGGCTGTCTCTGGATCAGAACACAGATCTGAATATTCGCTAAGTTTTATAAGTTTTAATATACAGAGAGCCGAATCACTGTCATTTTGGAATAAAATCACGTGGGTGTTTGAATCGAGATTGCGATCTTTTAATGATTAATCGTGCAGCTGTAACCAATAGTTGCATATTTAGCCATCGAAATGAAAATAATAAGAGCATATAATCAAGATGTGTTGACTGAAAACGTGTGTGTTTCCCAGGAGCTGTTGGAGTTCCTCTGCCAGGAGTGGAAGTGCGTATCATGATGACGAACTCCAGCACTGTGATCGCGGAGGGCAACAGAAAGGGAACCCAGGTGCCTAAAAACCTTTTTGAAATATGAATTTTGCACGAATTATGGGAGTAACTTTCGTTAAACTGTAAACAAACAGCAATTGCCAATATAAACTTGTTTAAGATTTGCTCTATGAATGCAATCATAATAATTTGCAAGAAAACTTACAATAAAGTGACACAATTCGCCTTTGGCTAAGCCACACCCTATAATGTAAATTGACCAATCACAGCGCAGCCAAGAACGAGGTCCGACACTTTTTCACAGCGCTCCATTGACTTTAACACAGGCGTCTCATATTTTTGGTCTCAGTCGGCTATTACCGTCGTAGTTTTATCAAAAATATGGTTAAACGTTGTGCCTGGGGCATTTGTAACACAGATACGTGTTTCCCAGAGAGGTTGGAGGGGGTGTGTGTTTTTTTCCCTTCCCAAACCGAAGTGTCGTCTAGCACACGCTCCTAATAAATACAACGTTATACTCGCGTAGTCCGTTTGCTTCGTAATAACGATAATAGAAGTGAATAGAGACCTACCCAGCTTTGCATGAACAGTGTTGCTCCTTGATATTGTTAGTCCCAGCCTCCGTCTCCATTAGTAGGATATGCGGTGGGTCATTTTTTGACTGTGACCGGTATGCTTTTGCCTCTATATGGATGCCTTGTTGTTCCTTGCGTTTCACCTGTATGTCGTGAATATAGCCTTCGAACGTATATTGCAGCCCTTTTGCCTACTTCTATCGGACACTTTATTTGCTGCTTTATAAAAGTTTGATCAAATTTCAGCAGGAAGAGCTGTCACAGCATAAGCCATGTTGATACCAGAGCCCAGATGAAGTTTGTCGGACGTAGCAACAGTAACTAAGGGGGGCGGGGCTTAGCCAAAGGTGAATTCTCCTCAGTCTTCAACATTTGAATATTAAGATGAAATTTTTTTTAAGTATTAAAAAATTACTATCAGCTAATGAATAACCCCAAAAATGAACGGTCAAAAATTACCGAATTATTATGATTATTATTTTTTTCAATTAAAGGAATGTACTATATTTTAGTTTGATAATGTTTTTTATTTATTATTAGGGGATTTTATGGTAACACATTATATTTATGCAGTAGTTATAATCCATTGATTCTAGTTTTGACTTTTGAACATAGCCCTGAAAATTAAATTTCCAAATGAATCTGTCGAAAATCTTGAATGCTTTAAAGCACAGACTCAAGTTTGACTTTAAAGCATTCAAGATTTTCGACAGATTCATTTAGAAATTTAATTTTCAGGGCTATGTTCAAAAGTCAAAACTAGAATAAAGGGATTATAACTACTGCGTAAATATAATGTGTTACCATAAAAGAACACGATAATTAGTGAGGAACCCCTACTGACTTGGAGTCCTTCGAGTGTCTGGACCCGTGTGTGTGTGTGTGTTGTTCGCAGGTGAAGGCTGGTTTGGAGGGGAAGGAGGGCGAACTGCTGGTTCGAGGTTCTTCTGTCTTTCAGAAGTACTGGAATAAACCTCAGGAGACGGCAGACACTTTCACTGAGGACGGGTGGTTCAAGACCGGTACTGTCCTCTATGCTCGTATGCTAATGCATGTACAGAATATGTGGAGCTTGATGAGGGTTTGATTGTCTGAGTGAAGCACATAGAAGGAGAGAGAGGAGAAGACATACTAATGGTCCAGTTTTTGATACCATAAAAGCAGGACGTTTTTTTTGAATTATTCAGGCAAGAAGGAAAATTCTGTCATGATTTATTGATTCAGCTTCATGTCATTCCAAACCTGCTCCTGTGCATTAACACACAGGTGAAACTCCAAAAATTAGAATATGGTGCAAAAGTTCATTTATTTCAGTAATTCAACTTAAAAGGTGAAACTAATATATTATATAGACTCATTACATGCAAAGTGAGATATTTCAAGCCTTTACTTGTTATAATTTTGATGATTATGGCTTATGAAAACCTTGTCACAATATTCTAATTTTGAATTTGAAATCATCAAAATTATAACAAATAAAGGCTTGAAATATCTAACTTTGCATGTAATGAGTCTATATAATATTTTAGTTGCACCTTTTAAGTTGAATTACTGAAATAAATGAACTTTTGCACCATATTCAAATTTTTCGAGTTTCACCTGTGCATAACTCATGTGTCATATGCATAATGTTATGAAGCTGTAAAGCAACTTTCTGGTTGCACCTGTGCACATTTAAACTTAAAACCAATGTTGTTTTATGCCCTTAATGTCAAACCTGGTGTGTTTTGAGAGATGTGGCACAGGTTATTAGTTATTAACCTTAAAAAACGTTTGTTGCTTGAGATGACAATGGCAAATGATGACAATACTGTGTATTGTTTGTATTCATGTTGGCTTCATATGGCTTTGAACTGAAGATAAAACAAACATCGCATGCGGTATTCAGAAAAAGTTTCAGTTTAAGGACTAAATTGTCATGCGGTGTAACCATCAAGTTTGCATTTTTTTTGTCATTATTTAAGCGTTTAGAGACAGAATTTATGAGATAATTGTTGTCATTGGTGATTTCATATGTACAATTTAATAGTAAGCTTGGAGAATTTGGTGTTTCCGCATTTAAAAGAGATAGGCGTTTTAAAGATGGCCGCCGGGTCACATGACTTGCCTTAAAGGGACTTTGGTAGTATGTACTGTAGATTCTTAGTAGCATCAGTACCAACACTAACTTAGCAGAATCAGTACTTATAGTATCATTTCAGCATAGATCTCCGGTGTACATGTGTGTTGACGTGAAGGTGGTTGTTATTGTAGCTAGACTGAGTCTCAGCATAAGTGTTTTTAAAGAGCTGTTTTAAGTTCAAAACTAGTTTAAACTCGTCCTGAGACTCAGTCTAGCTACAGTACCAACACTAACTTAGCAGAATCAGTGCTTATAGTATCATTTCAGCATAGATCTCCGGTGTACATGTGTGTTGACGTGAAGGTGGTTGTTATTGTAGCTAGACTGAGTCTCAGGACGAGTTTAAACTAGTTTTGAACTTAAAACAGCTCTTTAAAAACACTTATGCTGGGAAAAACATCCGAACTTCATTCATACTACAGTTCCTACAATACAGTATCTCAGACTCAGCGAATGTTTACTTCATGGTGTGTGTGTGTGTGTGTGTGTTTGTTTTTGTGAGTGAGTGTGATTGTGTGTGTGTGTGAGTGCGAGTGAGTGTGCGAGTGTGTGTGTGTTTTTTTTGTGAGTGAGCGTGTGTTTTTGTGAGTGAGTGTGTGTGTGTGTGTTTGTTTGTTTTTGTGAGTGAGCGTGTGTTTTTGTGAGTGTGTGTGTGTGTGTGTTTGTTTTTGTGAGTGAGCGTGTGTTTTTGTGAGTGTGTGTGTGTGTGTGTTTGTTTGTTTTTGTGAGTGAGCGTGTGTTTTTGTGAGTGTGTGTGTGTGTTTGTTTGTTTTTGTGAGTGAGCGTGTGTTTTTGTGAGTGTGTGTGTGTGTGTGTTTGTTTTTGTGAGTGAGCGTGTGTTTTTGTGAGTGTGTGTGTGTGTGTGTTTGTTTGTTTTTGTGAGTGAGCGTGTGTTTTTGTGAGTGTGTGTGTGTGTGTTTGTTTGTTTTTGTGAGTGAGCGTGTGTTTTTGTGAGTGTGTGTGTGTGTGTGTGTGTGTTTGTTTTTGTGAGTGAGCGTGTGTTTTTGTGAGTGTGTGTGTGTGTGTTTGTTTGTTTTTGTGAGTGAGCGTGTGTTTTTGTGAGTGAGTGTGAGTGTGTGTGTTTGTTTTTGTTTTTGTGAGTGAGCGTGTGTTTTTGTGAGTGTGTGTGTGTGTGTTTGTTTGTTTGTTTTTGTGAGTGAGCGTGTGTTTTTGTGAGTGAGTGTGAGTGTGTGTGTTTGTTTTTGTTTTTGTGAGTGAGCGTGTGTTTTTGTGAGTGTATGTGTGAGTGTGTGTGTGTTTCCCATGGGATTTTCCCATATGCTTTTGGATTATTGCTAAAAAACAAGCTCTGTGATCAACAAAAGTGAGAGTGTGTGTTTGTGTGTGTGGTTTTGTGAGTGTGTGTGTGTGTGTGAGAGAGTGCGTGTGTGTGTGAGAGAGAGTGTGTGTTTGTGAGTGAGTGAGTGCGTGCGTGTGTGTGAGAGAGAGTGTGTTTGTGTGGTTTTGTGTGTGTGTGTGTGTGTGTGTGTGTGAGTGAGTCCGTGTGTGTGAGAGTGCGTGTGTGTGTGTGTGTGAGAGAGAGTGTGTGTTTGTGAGTGAGTAAGTGCGTGCGTGTGTGTGAGAGAGTGTGTTTGTGTGGTTTTGTGTGTGTGTGTGTGTGTGTGTGAGTGTGTGAGAGTGTGTGTGTGTGAGAGAGAGTGTGTGTTTGTGAGTGAGTGCACAACTTTTATTAATTCCTCAACTGCAAAATCGCTACAGCAAGTCTAATAAGCGCAGCTGTGTTGTGTACGAGGTGTTGTACACCAGCGTAATCATCACATTTCTGCTGTTCACACACACAGCGTTGATAACCAGCGGCTCTCAGGACAAGCGAATGACACTATTTACTACAACCAGAGCTGACCAATGTGCTTTACAACAAAAGGACTAAAAAACCCCAATAACACCAGCATAAAAATGTGCATTTTGAAAATCTAAACACCAACAATTAAAAGAAACCTCCTCCTCGTTCCCTTTTCACCTGCAACCTGCGAACACGTGTCTGGATGTGTCAGTCCATCTGCTCGCCCTCACACCCTCACATATCATCATCACACTCTCAGAGAGAGAGAGAGAGAGAGATGGGCGGATCAATGTGGCCCGTGTCTGCCCGTGTGTGTCTCTAATGGTGTAAGTGTGTGTGCAGGCTGTGACTGGCACCTCTATAGATCATCTGTCAGCGCTCACTTTCTGCCAATCCTCACGCTCCCTTCTTCACATTGATTTTTATGCGTGCCTTTATGTTCCTCTCCTCTTCCAGATCTCT